GTATCTATTACCATACCGTATCTATTACCATACTGTATTTATTACCATACCGTATCTATTACCGTACTGTATCTATAACCGTACTGTATCTATAACCGTACTGTATCTATTACCATACTGTATCTATTACCATACCGTATCTATTACCAAATTTTTAAGATGTAGTCCCTTGTATTTCTTACGCTCGTCCTTTTAGATCAATTTGATAATGGTTGTTCATGACTAATTATTCATGCTCAATGTTTTTCAGGCGTTGGCTTTAAGATTGGAGGGGACACGGACATCAACTACCTCGTCCTGCAGGTTCATTACAAAGATGTCTCGCCATTTTTAGGTAAGGACGAAACACTCTTCTAACATATTCATCATTTCTTCAGATGAAATAAGCCGTTAAATGTCTCCATTATATAATTCTGTTAGTCGCGACATGTTTATTTCGGACTTCGCCTCCATTTGTGTATGTATCTTGCCCTACTTTCAAAACCATTTTGAGACAGCTTTAAGCTGATTTTGAGCTAAAGATTCGCCTGTGAATTCTTCAGTTCAAACTCACCATGAGGTCGTCTCAAAGTATTTGTGATGTTAAGGCAAGATAAAACAAGAAGCTTTCATTTAATAACTATATGTATACATTATTTATTACAAGATGATTGTGAATTTTATTTTATGCCTGACAAATTTATACCGAATAATTACTTCATACATCTTGTTTGTAACAATTTTGTACTTATGTTTCCCTTCATATATTTTGTATGTAAAAATGTAGTACGGACGCCTTCATTTGCCTTAGATATTTTATATGTGACAGTTTTGTACCGACTTCTTTATTCGTATATTTAAGTATGTAACAGGTTTATGCAGGTTTCTTCCTTGCTTTGTTTTTAAATGTATGAACCACAATGCTCAAAATCATATACTATGTATTTGATTATGTAACTGAATATATATCGTCAAGTGTCCTAAATTGTATACTCATTCAATATTCATATATTTTCACCAAACTGTTGTACAACTTACATCCTTTTTTAATCTTACCATGTTGAGGCAATGTTAAAAACAGATACATGGATATATAGCGTTTGACTGCTTCCTGTCGGAAATGTTAAAAAACCAACATAATTTAACGTTATATGGATGAAAGTATACCTACGCACATTAACTGGTTGTCGTAGAAACTGTCATTTAATTTCGATTAATTTTCTTTCTATAACAATGCATTACGTAAATAGCACCATTTGAACAGGTAAGGTGATAATTAATTTTCTCTATTTCACAGCTGGTGAAACTGACAGTTCTGGAATTACCATGGTAACGACAGAAAAACAGTACGTAACTATCAGAATGATATTTTACAGAAAGCAACGTTAACCTGTGTACTGCTACCAGTATTAGATTCTATTTTTTAAAGCAGAAATATTAAAAGAATGTACAATTCAAAATGAACTTTGTTTTCATTGAAGTGTTCTAATGCTGAAATTAAACTTCTATAGGGTTTTTGTAAACAAAACGTTGTCCTTCTCCACAGAATGCCGAAGAGAGCCGGCGTATACCTGCTCGCGACTGGTGGAAGGATCCCTGCTCATTCCGTCGGTAAGTCAAATTAACACTAGACTTCACAACGAAAGCCACACTCTTTACATCACTTCATTTACATAATAAATAGCAAATATTACATAAGAGTATACAGAATATAAACACCTATGCACACCTATTTCACAAAAAAGGATCCATAGGACAAGTATGTTGCCACGATTTCAATGTGTTTTAAGTAAATCTACACTCCGTACTTAAACTCGTGATCGGCTGTCCTCACCAACATGCGCTTAATATATATCTGAAGAAACATGATAGGATTGTGAAGCAAGGAAACGCCTATTTCAAATTTCAGTAAGGCGATACCTAAAAAGGGGGTAAAACACCATATGTAAATCTACACTACGTACTTAAACTTCTGATCGACTGTCATTACATACATACACAGTATATTCAATGAAAACGTATTGTTTTTGTTTGTTTTGATTTAAAATTGACAACAACAACTGTCATAATTCATAAACGCATGTTTCATATGCATAGACATGTGCATATGTATACACAATTAATTAAGTGGTTAAAATTGATAATTGGTATACGAATAAAGTAATATCAGTAAAACCTCGATATAATGCCCTTCGTTTCATTTGCCACCCAACGTACCGCCAACACATATCTATGTACTTTTTCCTAAACATTCCTATTAATTTCCCTCAATTTATTACCAAACCTCTTTATAACGCCAAACTATTATTTTTTTTTGGACACATGGTGGCAGTATAACGAGGTTTTACCCTTTTGTTAATGGTTTATTACAGAATACCTGGAGAGTGCTTGTCGACTAACGACTGACCTGACGTTACATCCGTTCGCCTTTAGGACTCACACCCACAAACTAGGTAAGACTTGTGACTAAAGTATATTGTAAAAGTAATGCTCTCCTAGTATTTTACGTTATTATTGCATCTAACAATACAATTACCATGCTATTCAGTAAATACATCTGTGTAGTATATTTTTAACGTATGAGTTCATGTGTTAGTGACCTACATTTATTCTGACGTCATGAAATGATAATGTAATGACGTCACATATTTCAATATTAAATTATAGTTTAACAATGTTATTTTAAAAGTAATGATATATAATATCTTCAACATTTTCTTTAAATAAATTCACTTGCACATTATAACGAAAAAACACGTTATATTATAGGAAGGGTTGTGTCCGGATACAGAATCCGGGACGCTAAGTGGAAGGAAATTGGCCGGAAAAGTCCTCAGGAACCCCAGGTATGAATGATTTAGGGGTTTATTTTCGTCGAATTTTGAGTAATTTTAAAAGGTTAATGTGAACTCCTCTATGTAACCACTCTTCTGCCTACGTCTTCCATCGACATATTTGATGAATTTTCGTGCACGTGGAGAAGAAAGTTGATATTTTAATGATAAATCTTTGTTTTCTTCATGAATGTAAAAATACTATACATAATAGTGTTTTACCGCCAGCAGTACATTAAGTTAATGGAGACCACCATGTTGTTAACATAGCACTCCATGTTCAAAACATAACCGTGACCTTCTCCTCGTCCCAGTGGTGGTATAGGGGTCAGGCACATGATATACGTCAACATTAACACTCCTATACTTACGCTAGCCAATATATCATGTGTTCGGCCCCTGTGAGTGGAAGACACTAATAGAATCAACGAGTACCGAGGTCACCTTGTAAGTAGCGATATAATGGCTAATTACAAGGTAACGCTACAGGCTCTGTATTGGCGTGTTAGTATACTGAATTTGTACCTTAGGTATTAAATGATGGTGAGACGGAGCTAGAACCTTTAATATTCACGATACGCCTTCGTACAAAGTATAAGATCGTTATCATTGCGTGTCTGAATAGGGAAAGATGTTGAGTTTATCAATACTTAATCACCTTGCGATGTTTCGATTTCCTGACACGCTGCTGTTCTTTGGTATATAGCAGAGCATCGTTGTATGACATTCATTCATTAAGAACTGTAAATTTCGTTTTTCATAAAGATCAACATAGACTCTTAAATAGATTGTTTTCCAATTTAGAAAATTTTCTATTTATTAATGTTATTTTATCACATAATATTGACCGTTTGAAATTTGAAAGACAGTTGCAAGTGTACTCCCATGTATTCGTTTTAATATTTCAGATGTTCTACAACGTCACCAGCCCAGGAATGGAAATAAAGAACAATGATGTTCTGGTGCGTTATATTATTTTATACACTTGTTAAATAATTCCACCACTTCGGCAATTTAACGACATTTTTCATCGGTTCACAATATTGTATTTTAGGAAAATCCTGATATTTTACCCAATAAACCATGTTCATGTAACACTCTTCCGAAAGCCTCCCCGTATTACCAGTGTGAACAAGTGAGCCTTGGGTGATTGGTCGCAGACGAATTAGCTTTTTTTTGAGTGAGGGTACACGTGTGCATGTACATATGTAAACAATTCAATACACATCCTTGTCACTGGCATATCATTGCTACTAGCTACAGTGTCCAGAGTTTATGACACCAATTGTGACATCGGCTTGTTGGTGAAATGGAAAACGATGCAGCATGTGACAAATGCTTGCGGGAACATAGAAAAGCCCCATTTCAATAATTAAATTATCTTAAGTCACATGGTCTTATAGACACTTAAGGAGTCATGAAAGCAAAGTCAATTACATTTTCATGTGGTAGAGTATATTTATTTTAATACCTTATGATTGAATATAAAATCATTTCTCACTCTCGTTACATATTTTACCATATCACAAAAAGTGACATGCACGTGTGTTGATTTGATGTTAATTTTTGTTTACCTTGGTTAATCCGTTCAAAGCCTGGTCAGAACAATATGTCATTTAAGCCAAATTTTCATTTTTGTTTTTGTTTTTAAATATCTAAATTTTTACATCTCCTGTCTGTTCGTGATATATTTTTACGTGTGACGTTTAATTACAACACAAATTTAAGATTCCGTGGCTACATTTTGTACAAATGATTTAAAAAAAAAATGCCTTACTGCATTTTTTAAGTGTCTTTCATAATTATCTGTGGTCAAGTTTACATACGTTTTATTGACTTGACAAAATATAGCTAATTTATTTGACATTTGACATTGAAAGTGAAAAGATTATGTCATTTTGATAACACAATTTTATTGATTTTTTGCTGACCGATTGACATCTTTTTACAGGCTGCTCGTTGTACGATGGAGAATAGTCTAGACAGAGATGTATCTATTGGGTGAGGCACTATTTACTTGAAGATTTCATTTACTATCTGTAGATCTCTTTTTAATGTCTGGATGGGGATGTCTGAAAATATTTGTATTCTTAGAAATGTATGAAAAGAAACAATCTTCTTTTGTAACTACCTAAACATTTACATTGTGATGCATCATAAATGAGAGGCAATTCTGTACTGTCTTATTCCGTCAGTTTAGCCTTATAATAGTGAATGGGTTGCAACAATATATATGTAGCGCGATCTCCCAACAAAAGTCAGAATACATCAAAATGTCTCCCCGTCAAACGATTTAAAGATGAGACCGATTGTTGCACGTCCTAGCTTCTGATCCAACACGCCGTTTGAGTAACTTCTTGGACATTGTGCTAAAAGCAATGTGTAAATCAGTTCCTAGTTACATAAGAGATGATATAGACTTCCTCAGATACTTGTCGGAACACATTGATGAGGATACAACATTTGTAAAAGCATACCTCACGAACTTGGTATAGAGGCAATCTCATTTTGGCTAGAAAAAGCAAAACTGGTACGCAGTTTTTCAACATCGTTCATTAAAAAGGCGCTTCAAATTGTTTTGAATGGAAACACGTTCCAGTTTGATGATAAAAATTACCAACAAATCCAGGGTACAGCACTGGGAATTAAAATGGCACTTACACGTACGCAACCTTAATAATGTTTTTTTCATATCTATTTGTTGTTTTATTCCACAGTTCTACCCAAAATGACGAGATGTGCAATTTCTATATGATGTACTACGTTGATGGCGACAAAATCGCCGAACAGAACTCGTGTTTCTCCGCAGGCGCCCCCTACTACTCCTGGAAACAATCCCAATACGCTCGAAAGATGAATCTCAAAGACGAACCATCGGCGGTCAGCCTGGTGCCAGGGGAGACAACTCCCAAGAAAAAGGGTCACGTAAGCAACATCCATCGTGCTGAGAGCCTCGTTGAAAAAGTACAAGGACCACGAAGCAACAGAATCAGCGGTAATGATTTCGCGCGCTTACTGCAAGCTCTCAACACCGCTTACGATTCTGATTACAAGATGTACGACAATGTTCTTTAAAATGACCGTTGTTACATTCTCAATTTGTTTGTTGTTGTCTTTATTGTTTACATGATTGAAATCTGTCTAATTTATTGTTATGGTTTTTTTTTTGTGTTTTTGTTAATTCTGAGAAAATGAATATAAAAAAGTGTTTATGACTGTACATATATGTATATATAACAAATATTGTAAAAAAATATGTCTCAAAAATTTATATATATTTTTCAAAAAATATATAATGTTGTCTTGTTATATACTGGTTCAATGAAGGATACATTCCTAACTGTATTTTTTTGCTTATCTTTTTGGCGTCTTGCCAAATTCTAACGAGGTTCTGTTTATTACTATATCTATTGTCAACGGATAATAGAGGAAAAATAACACGGTTTTTTTTCATAAAAGGGAAGCTACTCTTGATTGTACTGGCAAAACGACTAAGAACGTAATCAAATTAATAACGTCTATAAAGTTATGCGCGTGTTGCTGTCTTAAAAATGCAATCGATGCCTCTGTCTCAGACTATATCACGTTCAGTGCTGTTAACTTGGATTTCTAAAACGATGTAATTGACATTATTTGAAGTCGCCTTGACGACACAGCGACTGTATGTGATTCAGCCATCGAAGGTGACAGTCCCAGTTTCGTAAATAAAAATCCACAAAAAAAGTTTCACTTTATTTTGATTCATTTCAAAGAATATTCTGATGCGTTCGTATACCTTTATACATATTTCATGTATTACTATAAATATTTCGTTCAAATAGAGGTATACGTTCCTGGTGTGTTGATTAATCCCTGCAAGTTCGGGAAGAGGAAATACTTCTGTGTCCCTCTGCATAGTATCGTTGGAGGCGACTAATGTACCCCCCCCCAAACAGAAACAGAGGGGTTTCTTCTGTCTTCTGTGCTAAATTAGGGGTTATTTGGAGAAACCAAAATTGAACAAATTTAGCTGCTGCCCTAAATGCAACACTTGGGACACCTGTCTTTTCTTTCCTTTCCCCCCTATTTATTTTCGGCGGTGTCTTCCCATCACGTCTACATGTGACATGAGCTGTTGTGAAGACGTTTAACTTCCAACGAAGCAAAACACAACACAACATCGGGGGAATGTTCACCGTACCAGTCTCCTGTGTATAGAATGCAAACGTAGCGTACTGCGACAAATTTGCGCAAATATTAATGCAAACACCAACAAACAATTAAGAGAAATCATTGTGGTTAAAAATATTGTCCTGATATTTCAAGGCCTATTCATTTTTAATTTATATCAATGAAAAAAATATAAGTATTTCTTATTCCTTGATATATCTGGAAGATACGGCATTTAAGGCCTGTTCACATTGTTGTGTATACACTGTCTGCGAATGTCTTTTCCTACTTTCCAAAATTTCGAGCCCCCGAAGTAAGAAGGAAATTCACGCCAAAATAAGATTACCACTTAACTAAGAACGTCTACAGTATAATGACAGGCAGACAGAATCTTGAAGCAAGAAGAGTTTCATTGATGGAAAATTTGTTATGAATGACCGATTGCACGCTGAAAGCAACGATACGATGACGTCAGGAACAATAAATTATGAGGTCATTTGCGAATCAAATATCCCAGATTAAGGTCGGTCAAATTGTGACAGAAATAATAGGACGGGAAAATTTATCATCCCCTACCATAAGAGTGTAACAGAGAAAGTTCCAACCATCGGGCTGGAGATTTCCCTGTCCCACCCTCAAGGTAGGGGAAGATTATATCAATCATACGGTTAAAACACTCCTTTCATACGACGTTGTGTGCAACGGACCATCAATTGGGTATCTTGTTAAAAGGCATCTCCCATACCTAGACAATCACTTGCAAACAGGAAGTCGTCGTCTCCATTTTTGTCTCCTTTATAGCAGAATCGCCGACCCCCGTCAATGGAGACCAAGAGGCCTAACCATGACCTTGTGGGTAAGGAACAGACTGTCGACGAGTGAACACAAATGTACATGTATATTAAAACGTAACATTAGCGGAATAGAAGACCGTCGATTTTCCGGCCACAATCATTACAGTGTCCATGGAATACATAAAACAGACAATGCAATATGATTTAATCATGACCAAACAATTTTTGCGTCATGGAGGTTGTCTTTTTTGAATTACTGAATGTAAGCGAGATGAAGCAATCTGTAATTAGCTTCAACACACAGCGAATGTAAGTAAGCATAACCCGTGGAATTTCCAGTACTAGTATGCGTGTTTCTACAAAATCCTCCTTACAAAACATCATGGAATTGTAGCACATTCTAAAATTTCAATAACAACCTGTAAGCGACATTATACCATGTTAACACCTTAGCTGGAACAATATAGAACTATCATGTAAAGCCAAGTAAACATGTTGACAATTCTGTCGCGTAAATTACATAAATTTATTTTACAGCAAACATCATATATCACACAGCACTCCCTAAAACTGTTCGAATGAGATTTAAATTTTGTTTTTTCTTTTTGTATTTCTTTCTACACTATACTACATTGTATAACATGATCATATGTGGAGCAAGAGGTCTCATGTCTATCTTGAAACCTTGAATCAATTATCTCACAAATGCAGATAATCTCTAATCTTCCAAACTTAACAAAACATCATGAAACACATTATCTCTGCCACGAGTATGTCATTTATCGAAATTATATTCCTCTGAAAAGATGTTTTAGCCGAGCAATCTCACTTTTTGTTTTCATTTCGTTTAAGAACTTGTCTCAGGGAAATGCGTAGTGCCTATTTAACCCTTTCACCCCTATGTAACTTTAATTAACCCTATTATGCATTGATCTGGATGAGCCCATTATGATACACAGTGGTGAAAGTGATTAACATCAAAATAAAAATATTAAAGTAAGCTAAACTTTCTATTTTAACATCTGCATTTGAGGATACCAAATTGGATTATTGCATTAAAACTGTAACGATATGAAACTAACTAGCATCAGCAAAACGCTTAAAACTCTTCTACAGCTAGAACTGGCGCATAGACATATTAGAATAACGTCACCAGGAACCTAAATTACGTTTACATGCTTTGTAATCTGTAGTGGGCCTCGATCTGGTAATTTTATATTCATTTGCCATTGAAACCCAAACAACTGTGATTTAATAACTGGGCATTAATCTTCTGAACTTTAATACTACATTTATATGGTACAATGAACCTCACATTTGTCTTTACTATATAACAACAAATCGAATTATTTATGTAATAAACACACATATATAGCAATACCATCAGATTGTTTTAGACCATGTTCATACTGACGGCTTATCGGGGGCTTGTATACATACAACCCAGTAATTTGCAAGAAAGAAAACTTGCAATGTCGGAAATAGATATGCAAGTTAGAAACAGACTGATGACGAAGCCAGTTTTATGCAATGAACACACAAGCAGAAACTGATAGAAAGGAATTGAATAAAGTGTTACAAGATACGTGACGCTGTAGCTATGATAAGTCTACACTAACTAGATAAATAATTCGTAATTCTGTATTGTACAACCTTTGCATTAAACTTAATTACAACAAATATTTCCAGGGCCATTCCATTAATACATTTAATTATCTACTAGATATACAGTGACACACACAACAGACGTGTGGTTTAATTGTACCGTTATTCCTTGTGTCATTTTATCAGACCTTATTGTTGGTGTTCGTGTACTTGTGTTCCTTCATGAGTCATTTCGTTTCTGTATGACTTCATAAACTTCTAATCCGGCGGGTGCTTTTTTGTGACATGTTGGTGCAAAACAATCCCTGGTCATTTAATGTGTTTTATATAGAGGTTGAGAAAATGCTGAAGAAGTGAATGCTGCTTAAAATTCGGCCTGAGCTAAATAGTTTTCCAATACTTTGGATTTCCGCGTTACATATTTCACCACAATATACAAACATATGTTGATTATATCTATTCTATTACACGAAATGAAATTGAATGCACTTTCGTTTACTTCAATGCCTAAACGCAACTAGACCTAGATAGTAATTGGCTGCATCACCATTTGTAACGTGTTGCCTCGTTTACGCTTAATAAACAGCTTGAATTGCTAACATAATAATAAAAGATACATTTCATTAACCTGACAGACCGAAGGTTTAAGTGCAGCAGACAAATACAAATGATATACAACCTATATATAAATGGTAAGATCAGTAATCGAAGGGTTGGGGATCTATTAGATAGATTAGTGGGCAAAAAGAACTTGACACCATCGTTATTAAGGTAATAGGATTGTGTCGCCATTTCTCAGTAGAATTTATTCAAATTTTGTAGTTATATTGCTTTGAAGGAAAGAAAATTTTCTGCCACCAAAAACATATAGGTTGTCAGAATTTTAAGGATTTTAAATGAAATTTATGTAAAAAGGAGTGAATTTTGAAAATATATGAAACACACAATGTTTTGCCGAAAAGTGTCAATAAAAATGATACTGACATAGATTAGTATGACCTCAACAGTAGGTGATGGCTTAGAGTGACTTCCCCATGTCGATTTTTTTATTACAGGCTTTGTGGCCCATAAACTGGACACTATTTCTATGCTTCCGGTATATGGCAACATTGGTAAAGTGTGCTCTTAGTGTTGTAAAGGTCCCAAGTTCGAATCCTTCAGCTTTCTTGTTTTCTTTCTTTCTGTGATTATGATTATTTCTAATTTCAAACATCCAAATTTCAATCAACAACAATTCTGTAAAATTTCTAAACATTTTTTTCAGGTTGGTAAGTAATAATTATGAAAAGTTCTTTATACACCACCAAAAACATTTTCTATGTGACGTGTCGATGACTAGAACGATATGTACACTGTCACCTTCATCAGACAAATGACCAGTGGAGCATATGCACACAAAAGTGTAAAATGTGTACGAGTTGTCCACAGAATCGATGTCGATTTCGGCTACACTGTAATCGAATGTACAATAGTTGTTATATATGTACCGAAATGACTCGATTCAGCTACGCTTTTTTTCAAAACATAGCAACAGCCATGAAGCCCCACAAGACGCTTCGCAATATCCTATTACACCCTAAGGATAAAACACCTAAAGAAAACGTCGCAGAATGCGTATACAAAATTGGATGCAAAAACTGCGAAGCGTCGTATATTGGAGACTGGAAGGCGATTTAGGGTCCGCCTTGGTGAACACCAGAAATTCACCAGATCAAAAAGGAAGCAGTCGGAGTCCCAGATAAATAAATCGGCAATCACAGACCACGCCACACAGAAAAATCATATGATTGACTGGGATAACTCTTAAGTTTTGGACAGAGAGAGACCTGTTTACCTTAACACACAAATAATTCAAAATCTTCCGCTTATGACGTTACTTCAAAGAACCAATGCTATACAAAGATAACACATTTAAAGTGTGGGCTTGTCTTAGCCTCGTTCTGACCGTCGTCCTGACTTTTAGTTACCTTATCTATATGTGACGTATCAGAACACTTTTATCCACGGTCAGTGTATACTATGGAGAGGACACAGTTATGGACAGCCATTGTCCTAGCGTACGTTTGTCTTACTGTCTGTACCAGTTCCCCTGTGTCCACTAGTGATCAACATGGCGATCTCAGGTGGGAAAACGACCCCCACTATTTTACTAGAACTATCAGGATGCCAAATGCCGTGTCTACCAAGGTAAAGAAAAAAAGACTAAATATGATGTTACGTTATGTGAACTCTCCAAAATGTTTCATTTAATTCAGAATCATCAATGACGGTATAAACGGTATTCCTTTCCATATGATTTGACTAATATCTAAATTTTTATTCATAACAAACGTCCTAATTGGATCATTCGCTAGCTAGAGTTATCGTTCCTGTTCCATACACTTCAATCCCTGCCATCGACTCAATACCAAGAGACTTGACAAAGAAGGATTTTATCCAACCGATATATATTGTTTGGGAGTTGTTTGATAGCCTTTTTATTAGATATAACTTAATGGTCATGTTTCTGTATGGAAGGTTTTATAGGTTGAAAGAATATATACAAAACATACAGAATACATCACAAAATAAAAATATGCTAAGCTTGAAATTAAAATGGCAGAATGGAAAAATCTATTTATTATTACACAGACATTACAAATAATCACCATAAATGAGAAATATTGGGAAAAAGTACCACAACGGATAACCTATGTATCAGCAAAATGGTAATTCGAACTCAAAATCGATAAACTTAGGACAACTTGGGAACAATGGAAAGATAGTAGATCAGGTGTGCCGGAAGAGTTAGCGTCTCCTACTTCATCGACGACGCCCACCACGGAAAATCTAGGTCAAATCCGAGTAATGTCACGTCGTCACAATCTAATTACAATTATATCTTCACATCGCTCCCGTTTACTGATATGTCACGTTGAAGATCTAACAACATCCCGTAGAGGGTCATGTTCAGGCGACATTTGCATTAACCAATCAGATGAGAGCTTACGCATTTCTGTAAGTGATGATGTAATGATTTCGGAACACACTTGCTATGATAAAAGACCGAGAGGTGTCAAATGAGCATCGAAAATGGCGGCGCCCATGAAACCACGCCGTGTCTATCTACAAGACAACGTATGTACAATTTGTGGATTTTGCTTTGAAATAAGAGAGACTTCCTCTTCTGGTGATGTTGTCGTTAAAAAGCTTAACAATCTGAAACTACAATTAACCAATGACAGGCTTCGCAATATTCAAACTATCACTGGACCAGACGAAAAAGTGGATTTTGGGCTACGAGGTGTCCATTAAATGCCACAGGTCCTGCTTTCTGATTGGTTGAAAGAAAGAGTTATGTCGTGTTTTGATTGGCTTGTTATAAATACGATAATGTATTCATGTTGACCTCTGACGTGACCCTCTATGGGATGTTGTTAGATCTTCAACGCGACATATCAGTAAACGGGAGCGATGTGAAGATATAATCTTAATTAGATTGACGTCGTCAAAGCGGGAACCAGGGTAGAAAAAATGCACATTATAAGAAACGTCGACCTTTATAGCACACATCCCAATAACATTATGATTGCACCCATGAATTTTCCCAAAGCTTTGATCCGCTATAGTGCGCGCTTCCAACCGTGCAATGTTATGTATTTTTATACATGTAGCTCTATCGCAATCCCGTGTCTAAGAATAGATTTTTGTAAACAGACGAATTCAAGGCCATGGCTACTAATACATGCGTTTCACGATAAAGACTCAACAACATGAGTATTTCGCGTTATGCTGTATAAAACACAAGATCGTACAATCATTACCAACAAGTTTGAAAGGATTTAGTTTTCATTACTACTGCCTACTACATGCCGTTACATGTATTCTTAAAAAACACACATCTTGATTTTGTTCTTCCTTTACTTTGGAATGGTAAAATTACATATAGTTTTCGAACAGCATGTCTTACACGTGTATTGCGCTCCTAACTTTGTGCTGCAGTCTTCTTGCATTTAAAACAAATGAGACTGTCCTCGACGATGAATTTTCAGCATGTTCGGTAATATCTTTGCGATAATAACACTTGAATTTTTTTGCTTCGCCTTTTTTTTATTCTGACCCAACAATCCCATATATTTTGTATTTCGGCATCGTTTGTTTGCGTTAAGATAATAAATAAAAATACTCGACCTTTATAGCACACATCCCATTTGCTTTCACCCAAGAAACATCTGTTGCGTTTTTGAAAACTTGATCAATCCAGTTTTTCATTATTTTGAGCACTTTCCCAAAGGAGGACCACTTTTCCGTCATACGATTTTTACATTTTGCATTTTTGATCACGGAATCAAAACGTTTATTCAAAAGTTGGTCCTCGGATGGGAAAGTATTGAAAGTATTTTTTTAAGTCTGGGAAATCCCGTCACTTTCATAAATATAGTGAATATGGCTATATTTACAGTACGTATTATATTAACAATACCGAATATCTCAACAGTTCGAAAATTCATATTCAATTGGTTTTATACTTACTCCATGCATTTTTGCTACTAAAGATTATTTACTCATCAATATTTATTTCCGTTTTCAAATATGCCGACTTAGGTAAATATGGTCAGTTTTCCGCCATAGCTCTTTCCCAATATTCTTTATCAATCAGGCTGCATATCTCAAAAACATGCATTATAAGTTAAGATGTTATCTACTTTTCCGAAATTCTTAGAACTTAAGGTGGCTCCACACTTTCGCAATTAACCAGCAAAATTCGTTGAAACTTTCATATAATTGTTATGCAACTATGTCGAGTTGATTTTATGAAAATCTAAACATTCCGATAGTTTGGGGAATTTTTTGGAAAAAATACCAAAAAATTGAATTTTCGTCAATTCTAATATTTTCCGGGTTTTTTTGTGTGTGGCATTGTTCGGAACAATAA